TAAGATTGCTCGACCACCAAAAGGATATCTCTGTATATTTACTTGGAAAAATATTAGAGGGGGGGTCTTGACTTTTTATTCACCCTGTATATCTGATATATTATATCTGGTAAACAGTGTTTAAAAAATTCTAGATTATATTTTTATTTTGACCTCTAAAACTATTTTTCGGAGTTTGACACTTCTTACTAGACACTCTGTAACAATGCTTGCGGAAATTCTGCAAACTTTACATGAAAGCAGATTTTAAAATACTGTAGGTAGCAGAGAAGTGTCATACAGTATTTACAGATCCACGTCGCTGCCGTTGCGATATTGTTTACGGATGATCAATATTGGTTGCATTCATACAGTAATCTTTTATTTTGTGATGTTTTGTCAATAATTAAATCTAGAATACACTATGCATGCATACTACTAGTTACATTTTGGGGCTCGTGTAACACTAGGTTTAGGGGGTGTTAACTAGGTTTTCATTATGACTAAGATTTCTCGGTAACCTAAAAACTTTTTCATCCGTAATGAAATCCCAAGATAACGTTTAAACAAATAATTCGGATTTCTAACAAAATATCATTATGTTCTGAAATTTATTTAACACAAGAACTTTTATTTCGAGCTTTGGTTGTTGTAAGAGATCGGTCTTAATCGCGTCTTGTAAATACTGTCACAATTATCTGGTGTTGGAAAGACATAAACTCAACAACTGTTCTTGATATACTTAAATGTATCTGATCTGCGACTGTTGAAACTGTATTGTTAATTGTGATGTTAACCTACTACCGTGACGTCACCAGGTGAAAGCAGTGTTAATACAACAACGTGCGGCGTCTTGTCACTCGACTAAGGCCGTGGCTTGTGTCACGAGATTTTCCTTATACTCGCAGGAATGCAAGTCTGGTTCGTTGTCAATGTCATGGCAAACTCACGTTTCATGGTCAACTAGCACTCTCTTTCTACTCTGGGAATTTTATAACAACTTGTAAAGCTCATTGACCACCTGCTATAACTTACGCTAAAATCCATTGACACTAAACAAGTAATGTTATCTGAGAGCCTAGTTTAATTAACCCACAGCGATGTTATGTTATAAATAGCCCCTGTAATTAGGCCTACTAGTACAATATTTGTTATAATAGTTTGAAGGTGTAAATAGTTTTGAAGCAAATGTAAAATTGATAGTATTCAATCCCCGTTGGTCGTAACGTAGGCCCAAGTTAAGTTATCAACGTCAGTGGCTTTTTAGGCTGTAAGCCTACTACGTCTACGTCACACCCAGTGTATACATTTTCTTGGGCAATCTTTAGCATTTTGATTATTAACTTGTAATTTGTTTAATAGTCGAAAATATGTTGTGTTGATAATAACACAAGACAGATTTTCTTATAGAAATAAACATGTTAAGTTTGGTTTGAAGATATATGTCACATATATGTTTTGTATTACTGTTTACTGGTTTAGGCCTACTCTATGCTGTATTATATTGTATGCTATTGTGTTGGCACTACTGTAATTTCCGCCCTCATGCAGATCTATGAAATACACGTTGGTTGTCAAGATGTCTGTCTGTGTCTTATCATTTTAAAGTAGACCTTGGCTTCGCAACAGTAATTTCCGCCCTCATGCAGATCTATGAAATACACGTTGGTTGTCAAGATGTCTGTCTGTGTCTTATCATTTTAAAGTAGACCTTGGCTTCGCAACAATATAATAACAGTTTGTGCCAGTGGGGTGAGGTATTGTGGAGCCAAGGCAGCAATGTACCGGTGTCACTACCTAACTCAGTACATTTCTTGGTGTTCCGTACCGGCTCACTCCTCGCTTTGCTCGATATACCTACGTTCAGAGAAAGGTTTTAGGCGTATACGTAAAAGCAATGCAGGGGTAAAGATGCCCACCAACCTCTATTATACACAAACGTACACATCCTAGATTTTATATCCAAATACAAGATTCTTTGGAATTTCACTGAAAACGTTAATTCGTCAAAAATATCGAGTCGTATTTTAAATAATTTTCTGTTACATTCGTTATTCTTATTATTTTAATCTGTAAACGTAAAAAATGCACGGATAAATTTATGTCGATATCCTGGATTTAATTTTATCTGACGTAAGCAATTGTTAACAGTTCTAGCCTGGGATACATAATCAGATGAAGTGTGTCAACATTGATGATCATCTTGAGACTGTCATAGCGACAACTGTGCGTTTGCATATTCCGGGTGATCATTTATGAGATGTTTTCATTCTATTAAACGCTTCAATGGATGAAACTGTTTGTAGTGCCAATGCTACTTTGTGCAAATTTGTAAACCCGTTTACAGGATATTGCAATTAGACTAACCGTCCTTTTATGAAATCTAAAAAGTTGTTTGGCGTGGGTTTAGTTGTGGTTACTTTTGGAGGCGCTGAATATTTTATAGTTTAAATAAATGAATATGGGGAATTACGATGTACATGGATTCAATGAGGGTGGTTTAGTTACCAAGGATATTAGAAGTGATAACGGAATGGATAATAAACATAGACAATTAATTACGTCACTAGCTTTACTAGCGTGTCTACGTTTTAAATTCCTTCAACATGTGACCAGTTCTTTTGTTCAAATGAATATTATTTTATTTTTGACTCAGCTGTTTATAAAACAAACTATATGTTTTTGTGTTTACTTTTCTTTGTTTACACTTATTTATTTAGCAATTTTTTGTATCACAATTTTATTTACAATCTGTTCATTTTTTGAACATTCAGCAAATACAATAACAATTATTAATAAAACGTTAGTTGATGCAGTGAAATTGACATAAAGGATATGTGTGGACGATTCGTTTAATGATGTCAGGACACCAACGTTATAATTATGTGTACTGTGAATTTTATTAGATGTTTTCGTTTTATTATAGATAGTTCCAATTCAGACCTACTGGAAATTGTGTATAGTATGAGTAATTGTATTGTGGTGATATTGATTATGGAAGAGGCAGGTATGCGATGGAAGGTGATATCATTGAATAGGCATATATACACTTCTCTATTGATAGTTAGTCTTTCTACTGTAGGCTGCAATAAAATTTTTCTTTATACGTGTAAACTAGCTGTTCTGAACAGGGGCGTCGCCTTGGGGGGGGGGTAGGGGGGGGAGCCTCCCCCCCCCTAGAATCTGGGAAAGAGAAAAGTTGGGAATTTCTCTGCCATGAGTTGGGACAGTTGGGAAGTCAGATACAAGAAAATATATTTTTAAACTAAACAAAATTTAAATATTTGCGAAAATCCATCAAAGATAAAAACTTCTTTGTCTTGGAAAAATAAACTTGACGCTTCTTTGATTTCATTTAATTTTGATTAAACAAGGCTAAACCATGGCTAAACACGCCTTATTTTAAGAAATCAATAATCAATTAGCGGTATAGCTTGTTGGAATTTCGTTTACGAGAAATTTTGTTCCTTATTGGACGTATGTTGGCTACCTTGATCCTGTCCTGTGTTGATGATTCTGAATGATTCGTCTGCGAGACTGCGATTTTGAATTTTGAAAATGCAAGCAATGTAGCTCTTCTGTTCAATTATGTTGTTTGTTAGTGTTTACAAGAAATTCAAAAATATTTTTCACGTCGGTCACATGAAATATATTTTATACCTTTTTTTTGTGGTATTTGGAGCAGGCTAACAGACCGGAGTACTTGCTAATAAGCAGAACGTTGGGTGCATGCAATTAATTGATAATAATACATTAGTTCAATAGGTGAAGGTAATTGTAAATTATCTATTGCATGCACCCCACGTTTTTCGTTTTAAATCTTACAAGTATTTGTACTCTCCACATATTTATAAATTATTTTCTACTTTTTAGTACCGGTACGTTTAAAAACGTTTTGTTTTAAAAAAGTTTTTTATTTATAAATTACTAGCAGAGTACCCAGCCTTCGTACGGGGTTGGAATATAAGTATAAAATGCTTATTGCAGTTATACTTAAGCTTTGCGATTGCAATGGGTGGAGGACACAGTTTGATAAAATTTGCTTTTTTAAATTTACAGTATTCTATAGTATTACACATCTACCATAGCCATAATGTTCTACTATTTCACCAAACAATAGAGAAAAATAAATTATCAATTCGCAAAATATCACAAATTATTCATGCAATGAAAAACATAAACATAACTGTAAACAATCCTACTTTGACAGTTCTCATTGCGAATCACAGTTTTTTGTTGCTGCTTAGTTCAAATTAGCTGTTTTCATAAATGCAAAAAAAATATAGTGCTGCACCCTGTTGGTAAATCTTATAACTTTTTAATGCTTTTCCATATCATAGAACCAACTTTTTTAGTTGAAACAGCTGACTAAATTCTTTAATTCCCTTTAAATATGAATACTTATAAGGTTAACATGGGGAATTACAGAGCCACTGGGGCGGAGCCCGAAAGGATTTTTGAGATAAGAATATGCCTATATGTTAATCGGGAATGTAAGCTATCACCATGCCAAATTTCAGCCCAATCCGTCCAGTGGTTTATGCGTGATTGAACTTCAAACAAACAAACAAACAAACAAACAAACAAACACACAAACTTTCACATTTATAATATTAGTAAGATTTGTTTGATCTTTTCTTTACTTCATTGCATCAGCTGATGCGTTGTTGCATAGTATTATCAAAAGTGTTATTGGGAATTCATTGTAAATAAGACACAACATGCCGTTGATTTTACAATAAAATCTCAACAACACTAAACCGCATTGATGATATGCGAATGCGACAACGCATATCAGCCGATCGGCAATGAAGTACCTATAATGAAAACATGGATACCGAAATATAAGGTTGTTTTGTCATTACAATGTCTCTCACAGTACTTTTAATTTGGGCTGCACAAGAAAACCCCCTCTGTACAATAGCCTGATGTAGCCTGTTTGAAAAATGTAGAAAACTCTCTCTCCTATAAAAAAAAAACTGCAAGCTTCTCTCAGTATTTACCGATATTGGTCTACTTACCAGTGTCCGCCTAGGGTGGTGATCCACAGCAGACAGCCCGCTGTGGTGGAGGACAGAAACATCGTATCCACACTACTGAAGACTGCGCTACTGTACTAAGGTAACAGTAACATTTAGCGCAACTTTAGACCCGCGAACATCTCACATCGCTCTGCTTCTATCCCACCTACACCAAGGCCACCTTGTCTGCCATCACATTGTAGGCTATATGAGCGGCGACTGTGGACCTACAATGTATGTGCATTAGATGTTGTCATGTTTCAGTAATTGTTAAATGAGAGCGTGGTTCAAACGTGGTAAATTTTAATTTTATAAGTTGGACAGAATCGCTGATGAAAAATCGGCGTTTGAAGAACTGTATCAGTTTGATAATATCGCTGTCATTACATTACAAATATTTTGAAACTTAAAGCCGTATCGGAAAAGCTGAAACGAAACAGCTTTCTTTAATATTTTTTACTGCAATAAAAATAGAAAAAACTAGTTTATCCGGTTTTACTGCAGAAATGAACGAGTTTAATTTTTAATTTCACTCACAATTACTTTTAGAGCAAGTTGTTAGGTATATAGTTTATTCAATATTGGAGTAAATCTGAAAGGTTTCAGTAATCTGAGCCTTTAAATACACACCCTGATATATTGGTTATAAATGCAATCTAGGTCAGTAGTACTGTAATTTATTTGAACTGGTCAGTAAATATCAAACAATTTAAACATTTTAAATTACAATCCGTGTATAATAGGTTTAAGTTGATATAAGTGTAAATAACAGTTGTATAAGTGTTAAATAACAGTCACTAATTAGAAAAGGTAGTATATAGTTTTGCGTACAGCCAAACAATATCCATTTGTAATCAAGTGTCAATTTGTTAAAGTTAGTGTTGTAAGACGAGACTTGTTAAGAAATGAATTGACGTATCATTAATTACAAAAGTTAAGTACCTATTAAAATGCATTTACGCCACACTACACTGTTTTAACAAACTTCCCACGCAAGGATTTTAGTCCAGAAAACAGCTGTTTGCCGCCAGCTTAAACGATCACGATGGTACTACTGTACTGTAATGATTTTTACCGGACACCAACCAGCTGATTATATTATATTTGGAAATGAGTGGTTATATACAAAAACATAACCTCTAGTATGAGTAGCGATTGTTAGTCCTTTAGTCGGCGTGAATACATAAGGATTTGTACAGATTGTTCATTGTTTAGTTAGCTTAGAGTAGTATGGCGTAAAATATCGTACGTCACTCGTTCAAAATGTGTTTACCGGATTCGTATGATAATCCCGCACTCGACTTCATCTCGCACGGGAACGACCACACTCGTCCGGTAAACACCCTACGTTACTAGGAGGCCAGGACTAGTAACGTAATATAGGTACTATTAAATTATTTTAATACATATTTTTACGAGATTTATGGACAAGGACTAAGAAAAATGTCAATTCGTTAAAACATTAAAAAAATAAAATAGGTCTATCTTGGTGCTTATAACAAATTTTTCAGCCATCTTCCCGATTAAAGAAATAAGGAAACACTATAAGCTGCATCTCAGCATATCGTATTCGAATGTTCGCAATAACTACTACTACTAACCAGGTTTTGGCTCAACTTCAATTACTAAGAATAATGAAGAATAACACAAATTACTATAGGAAAATGTGTAGCAACAGGTTTACATTGAATTGTTGCTCGGCTCCCCCCCCCCCTAATCCTATGAAACGATCCGATATGTATTTTACTACAACGCCAAAGCGTTAGCGATTATTTCCCCTTTTGAGAATGGACCTAAGCTATTATTTTAATGCGTCATTTGAGATATAATGTAATTTTAGACTGACATCCCTGTCAAAGTAAAGAGTTGTGTTTTGAAGAGCAGAGCTTAGGTCGGTTTTGAAAAATGTAAAAAACATTCATCCCTGAGAGGAGAGCTAACACAGCTGTTCTCAAAGTTTGAGACCTACTTAGGCCAATTAGGACAGCACTGTAGGAACAACGCAATGTAGAATTCTACAACAGCTGGTCTAGTGATCTTGGTAACACTGGATGGCGACAAAGTCATTTGATCGTCATACCTGACTGTGGTAATTTTAATCAGGTTTAAAATCAAGTAGTAGCATAGATCAAACATACTTCCTTAGTAGATTTCTCATACTTATGGAAGAGCTGAAGCCAATTTTATTGATAGTTCTGTCCGGTACACTGTAGAGGTCGTGTTTTGTTTACAATTTGTTTCTTGTTATTTCAGTCATTTAAAACCTCACTTGACCAAATAAAACTATATGAACAATAACTCGTACCCTAGTTATAAAACCAAACAGTGAAGCATAAATCATAAAATAACCCTAAAATAATAGAACAAAGTTTCGTCGACACTAACGCCCAGTGTCCCCAGACATGTACTAGACACAAAAAACGAGCTTCAAAATCTTCTTATCAATGTATTAAAATGCAATGTGGATACAATTCAACGTAAATCTTTCGTCAGTATTCTTTTAGGACAGAAAGGCTCGGAAAGAATTATGCCTTGGCAGTTGTTTGCTACTGGATCAAGAGATAAGAGTCATTCAACTACTTTAAAGATAAGAAATAATTGTCTTGTTTTTGTTAACATATATTTAATTACCTCGAGTCGCCCTCTACTTACAATTAACAATGATTTAATTATATAATGGTTTGGCAGTGAGGGAGAGCTCATCGATGGCAGCAACCTATTTTGCTACTGAATATTTTTTAGAGTGGGATCAGCGTAGCGATTTTTCATTATTTCGTTGCGCTATTTTCCCAAGTAGTTTGTAGTATAGTGTTGAGTGTAACGCGTAACATTTTGCCGTTTATGTGTAACGCAGTCATTTTAATAAATTTCGATGGATTCAAAACTCATTACGATATGCTTTATGCTCATATATGATTGTTTTGTTTAAGAAAGAAATCCTGATTTTTTCAGCCATTATGTATACGGAAACGAGTTGTAGCCATGTTGATGGATTGATACCAAATTATCTGCTACAGTTTTGTTGAATAGAAATTAGTTACTGTATAGGGGTTTACCATAGACTAGCCAACACAACGATCCTAGTGGCACCAGACGGAACTAACAATAAAATTGTCTTTAGCTGAAGCTGATCCATTTGGATGACAAAAATCTACTACGGGGGTATGTTTTATTTATGGTTCTACCATAGACTAACCAACCACATATTTTATCTAAGGTTTTACACCTACACCGGTACTTAAGGTATTAACAACAAGATTTTTGATGGTTTTAGTTTTGACTGTTGTTTGAGCAGCTGTTTGAGACACGTCACCGCTATGTCAATGTTTTTTTACCCAGATAAAGCGCGTATCCATTTTGTTTTTAACACTATCATATATACTTAGTTAATTCATACATGTAGTTAGAGCAACATTATGCTAATTTAATATAATTAGTAATTTGTTTTAAAGCTCGTCTCGTGGATATACTGTACAGGATAATTTAGTTACGGTATAACATAATACTGAAGACTGTATTATGTGATAATAAGTAGACCTAGGAATTTTACGTTAACAGTTAAAATAAGAATGAGTTTTGATTGTTGTGGTGCATTGCTGGAACAAATCAGATACCTGCTTACAACCATTATAGTGCATTTACTACACACTAGTGTGCCTGTCGCTCGAATTCGAGCGATTGCTAAGATTACAGGCGCCATTTTAAAACGATTAACAGTCATAATTTCTGATGACTTTAAAATATTCGACTCAAGATGTACGTAACAGATCGATATAATCAACATTTCTTGTAAATATCTTATCATTTTTCAAAAGCTCTTGTTTTTCAGACAAAGTAGTTTGTAGTCATTCTCAAAAAATAGTCTTACTCAAGGTTGTCCATAATAACGATTATGAATTAAAATTCCCCCGCTGCAGCAAACCTGCCGACTAACAAACAAATAACTAATAAACAAGCCAACTACAACATTTTACAATATTCTCCATAAGAATAACATAGGAATTATAAATTAACAATTTTTTGAATTTTCTCCGTAATCAATCACCATACAAAACACTTTGATATAATAAATTATTTGTTTTTTTAAGCTCTTTAAAAAGGTCTGGAGAAAAATTGAAAATTTTGTGTTTTAAGGGTTAAAAAATGAGAAAACCCCATTTTTTACCCCATAAAATCCCCCTTAAAACCTCATTCCCGTGGTCTGATCATGCTGGTTCGCGAACTCATTCAAGTTTATCCCGCCTTTACAACTTTAAACCAAATTTTATCAAAATCGAACAAAATTTACTCAAGTTATCGTATGGACACACACACACACACACACCCACACACACACACATATATATATATACATATATAAAAATTTGAACAAATGGTGTTTTTGGCCTCTGGGGACATCAAAATGAAAATGAAAATCGGTCCCGGGCCTAGGTCTTATACCGCATGAGACTTACGGTAATAGCTACTTCCCTATAGGGAAATTCGCTAAAAAAACATTATTTATATTTCATCTCCTTGGTGGTGTTCTATGACTTCCTATGTTTCCATAGTTTGCAAATCGGCTCTTTCAATGATTACTAAGAAATGCAGCACAGTGTTGATTCAATTTTCTGTTTAGTATATCAAACTATCCAAACTCTCTCGCTTTTTTCCATTGTAATATTTACGGAAAGTAAAAAGAGATACGCCTTATAACACTTAAAACATATGTTTACGCTTAAACTGTTACTCACAAGACGGTAAATATATAAAAAAAATATGGTAAGTGGTGATCGATTTCGATTGGACACTCCAATCATCATCAGACCCAATAGGCGCCTGATGATGAAATCGATCACCACTTACCATCTTTTAGCGAATTTCCCAGATAGGGAATAAGCTATTACCTTAGTACTCATGGTAAGACCTGGGCCCGGGACCAATTTACTTTTTCGTTTTGAGGTCCCTATAGGCAAAAACACCATCCGTTCAAATTCATATAAAATATGATCAATATATATATATTATATATATTGCGAGTCCCATGCCACACTTTAAATTAAAGATTCCTAAAGGTTTCACTCGCTTAGCTTAGTCAAGAGGTGGTTGAATATTTCAGTTTAGTTCTTAGAAT